GATTTCAAGAGGTAGCATATGATCTAAATAAAAGCAGATGATACTGAAGGAAGAAGTCCAAGGTGCACTGAAGTCATGGGCAAAGAACAAGGCACTGGGAATAGATAATACAAAATGAAATGTTTAAGCAAACTATTGTGATGCTGGAGGTGCACACTCATCTAGGTAAAAAAATTTGGAAGACAACTACCTGGCCAACTGACTGGAAGAGATAGGTATTTGTGCCCATTCCAAAGAAAGGTTACCCAATGGAATGAGGAAATCATCAGACAATGTCATTGAAAGCCCATGCAAGTAATATTTTACTAAAGATAATGCAAAACCAGCTGCAACCACACATTGACAGCAGACTCCCAGATGTTCAAGCCAGTTTCAGAAGAGGCTGTGAAATGAAATGAGAGATATCATTGCTGACATCAGATGGATCTAGGCTGAAGGCTGAGAATACCATAAATATGTCTACCTGTGCTTTATTGACTACACAAAGTCTTCAATTGTGTGGATCATGACAAGCTATGGACAACATTGTGAAGCACGAGCATTCTATAACACTTAATTGTGCTCATGAATAGCTTGTACGTAGACCAAGAGTTAGTTGTTTCAACAGAACAAGGGAACACCAAATGGTTTAAAATTATGAAAAATGTGTGCCAGGATTGTATTATTTTACCATACTTGTTCAATCTGTATGCTGAACAAATAATCCAAGAAACTGGAATACATGAAGAAAAATATGGCCTCAGGATTGGAGGAAGACTCATTAACAACCTGCAATACACAGATGATACAGCCTTGCTTGCTGAAAGTGAAGAGGATTTCAAATACTTACTTATGAGGATCAAAGACCACAGTCTTTGGTATGGGTTGCATTTCAATGTTAAGAAGACAAAAATCTTCACCACTGGACCAATAAACAACATCAATATAAATGGAGAAAAAATCGAAGTGTCGAAGACTTCATTTTGCTGAGATCAACCATCAACACTCCTGAAAGCAGCAGTCAAGAAATCAAACGATGTATTGCATTAGGCAAATCTGCTGGACAAGACCTTTTTAAAATGTTGAAAATCAAAGATGTCAGTTTGAGGACAATGCTGCGACTGACCCAAGCCATAGTATTTTTAATAACCTCATATGCATGCAAAAGTTAAATAGTAAATAAGGAAGTTCATAGTAGAATTGATGCATTTGAGTTACAGTGTTGGAGGAGAATATTGAATGTACCATGGACTGCCAAAAGAACAAACAACTTGTAATGGAAGAAGTGCAGTCAGAGTGTGCCTTGGAAGCTAGGATGGCCAGACTTCATCTCTCATACTTTGGACATATTATCAGTAGGGACCAGTCACTGGTGAAGGATATCATGTCTGGTAAAGTGGAGGGTAGGAGAAAGAGAGGAAGATCCCCAATAAGATGGATTGGCCAAGTGGCAGCAGCAATGGGTACAGGCATAGTAACAGTTATATGGTTGGCCCAGGACCGGGCAGTGTTTTGTACTGTTGTGCATAATGTTGCTATGAATCTGTAGCAACTCTATGGCATTAATAATAACAACACCAACAAGAGTAACCCTAAAACTAGACAAAGTCCTACCCGTAGCCCTAGTTTTACCCTTAACAGAAACAATCAAAAAAATGTGGAGTTGTAGGATATGCACTGGATTGCTAACCACAAAAACTTACAGCCAGAACTCTGAAGGAGAAAGGAGATGCTTTTTGCTCCCTTAAAAGATTTACAGCCTTGGAAATCCTATATAGGGTCATTATGCTTCAGAATCAACTTAACGGCATTCCATGTTTTTGTGTTCCCATTTGATTCCATCAGTTCAGTATAAGAAGATCTCGTGGCCCTGCTTTCACTCCAGGTGAGGCTTCTAGTGGACTAGAAGGAGTCAGAACCATGGTGTCAAGTAGAAATGATTTGAATATTTACCCGTCATAAACCTACCAATAAGATGTCAACACTATAGTCAAGCACAGACAGAAGTACAGATGGCTGTTTGGGCTTTTGGACTGAGCTTGGACCTTCTCCCATCAACAGAAAGAGCATGCCCAGGGGCACAAAGAGAGCCCAGTTTTCCTTAAGGCTGGCTGCCCTCCCTGTTGTTGTTAAGTACCCTCCATTAGGTTAGGACTTATAAGGAGCAGCTGGTAGGTTTGAACTACTAGCCCTGTGGCTAGCTGTCTAGTGATTACCTTACAGTGTCACACCCAAGTCCACAGAACAGACCTGCCCCAACCCTATTGATCTGCTCTTGGAGCAAAGAAGATCCCTCTGTTCTTTTTGCATCTTGCAAGGACAGAGGAAGCTCCAAGGGGAGGCAACCTGGTATTTTTGTTTTACAGTCAATTTTCATACCGTTGGTGCTGTGGTAATCTACAGAAGCTGCTGAAAATGACCCTAATGCTGTCCTAACGATTTTCCTCATCTTGTTTTTTGCCATCTTTATCCCAGGAGGTGCCAAATTTTGTCTGTGGAGCGCCTTTCACCTTCTCTACTGATTATTTTACTGCTGGCAAATCTTCTGTCTTTGTTTCTACCTGGTTACGCTCAGGTAATCATCTCTGCTGGTTCCTTAACCAGGCATCAAAGCTGATTGGATTGAGTTATTTCATGTCCTCCTATCTAACATGTCTCTTTTATAACTCTCAGCATTTTTTTTTTTTCTAACTAGAGTTTATATGCATTTCACCAGGATATTGTAGGTTCAAGTTAACCTAATTTAATCTGATTAACTTGCACCCTTACTGAGAGTTTCTCAACAGACTTCATCCCTTCTACCTCACCCTCCTATTAGTCTTATAGAGGATCTTCCTTTCAAATGCTTTAGAAAGACCACAGGTACTACTCAAGGAATAGGAGGTAGAAGAGAAGCATTAAAGCCATTATTAGTTCAATTAGCTGACATGTCTAATGAAACAATGACCTCAATCTCCAAATCAAGAACCGAATCCCATCAGGTGTTAGATGGTATTTAAGCTGCTTCAGCCCATCTTTAAGCTTCAAACTGAACATATTCCCAGAATTCTTAAAACCAACTAATAGTTGAACTAGCAAAAAACATCCATTTAGGAGTTTTGCTCTGTAATGATGAATCTATCAACATCAGATTACATTGATCATGGCAACTAGACAGATTAGGAGGAACCTCAGGGGGCAGTGAGTTTATGCTAATGAGGGAGGAACAACTCAGAAAAGGAGGATGAAAATGCATAACTTAGAGACTAGGATCAAACTCACTGAATTACATGTGTAGAAACTTGAATGGGTATATGTTTTTGCCATGTATATTCTCAATAATAATAACAAGATATTATTAATATGTTTATTAGAAAGTTTGCAAATGGCTAAGCCTTGTAAATGAAGCTTTAAACGACTTCACCCACACAGTATACCTCCAGAAGATCATTTTAGAAGTTCATGTGCTTCCTCACATCCAACCAAAAACAAGATGCACATTTAGTGGATTATGAAGATGGCTGTATCAATAAGGTACACTCCAAGCTTCACTGCATTGTTAGGAGCCCTGATGAATTGAAATGGGCTGCCTTTCCTTTGCCACCAGTAAATCGAGTGACCTGAATTTATTTTTCTTAGCCAGTGGTTGTTGATGGATATGTCTGGTGGTTTTCCTTCTGAAACTTTTGTAGGGTACTCTATAATTAATTTTGAGCCAAATATCTTTTGTGAACTAACTGCTTTCAAAAGATTTTGTGTTGGTAAAACCCCAACTCTAGCTCAAACAGCTCACATAACCTTTGACA